ATTTGTTCTATATATAAAAAATATATATATAATATTGAACCTGAACATGTTCATGAACTTTGAACTGAACCTGAACTAAACCAAATTTTAAGTTCAGGTTCAGTTCAGGTTTATAAATTTTAAGTTTAGTTCAGGTTCATGTTCAATGATCTGCAAAATTTGAGGTTCAGTTCAGGTTCAATGAACTTAGTTCATGAACCTAAATTGAACTGAACTGAACCTAGGAACACTATTATCTTCTATACAGATGGTTCACTCAAGAAAGCAGCAACAAACAATGTTTCAGATATCGACCACATGAGAGCAGACTAGATACAAGTTGACATAGAAGAAGAAAAAATAATTTATAAAGGTGCTATAGGTGTCCAAAATTGGCTCTTATTAACAAAATTAGAACTGCTAGTGATTTGGTTAGTAATTTTAATAGACCAAAAAAAAAGAATTAAGATCTATACAGATAGTGCAGCAGCAATATCAGGTCTTAAAAAAGGAAAAAAGCTAAAAAGAAGTAGATAATGAATTAAAGAAAAAAACTATGATTTGAAAAAAAGTATAATAAAGTTACTTAAGTTAAAAGAGATAGAGTTAGAATTAGTTAAAATTAAGGGACATAATGATAACAAATAAAATACTAGAATAGATAAAATAGCAAAAAAAGAAAGTAGTATAGAAAATAGAGATATGATTATAGTAATGCTACTATCTAGTTCAAATATATCACTTTGTTGGAAAGAAACAATTGTAGAAGGGCCAACAAGACAATTTGTCAAAGACATCTTAGATTTTAAGATTGGCTCAAAATGGTGATTTACATCAACTGTCCAAAAATTAGAACCAGATAAAGAAAAAGAAGAACATAACTGGTCACTACTATAAAAAAAAGTTAGAACTCAAAGCAGAGTCAGATGTATGAGTATGAAGAAGAATAAAGAAATCACAACACTAATCAAATGCATTAATGAAAAACTACCAATACTAAAAACTTTAGTGAAAAGATGTTCAAATATATATAAAAAGCTATACTGCATTCTATGTAATGAAGATCAAAAAGAAGACCAAGAACACTTAGCTATTTGTAAAAGTTATGAAAAAGGTTGGGCTATTATAGAAAACTTAGCTATCAATTTGGCTTAGTCAGTGCTCTCAGAAAAACTCAAGCAAATTGAAACTAACAAAAATCTTATGAAGAAACTTAGCAGAAGGGGAAAAAGAATGTAAATCCAAAAGCATAAAAGGGCTAATCTAAGAAAAAGCCAAAAAAATAACAATATAAAGCCTTACTCAAACTTTCAAAGAAGCTAAAGAGTTTATAATAATATAGATAAATATAGCATAAAATAGTTTCTTTGAAAATATATGAAAAAAATGCTATAAAGCAGTTACTAACTGAAAAAAGATAAACAAAATTAGTTCTGCAAACAAAAAAAAGAAAGAACACATTCCAAAAAGTGATACAGTAAGAAATTTAATAAAAGAAATAGATGAAAGAGTTTTAGAGAAGAATCAAGGTCAAGCTGTAAAAGAAAAGAAAAAAGAAGAAGAAAAAATACAAAGTTCTTGGTTAGAAAAAAAGATAAGATCATTTTTTTATGATTCTAATAGCTAGCTTGATATAGTCCTCTGGCCAGTATAGCAGACCACACCTGGGCACTCATAGAAGCAGCAAGGAGATGTCAAACCAGAATTAAAGCCAACTTTGTACAAAATTATATATATGACTCTTAATAAAGATGATCAGCAAGGCTACCAAAAATTAAAAATAATAATAATAATAATAATAATAACTAATAATAATAAAATAATAATAATTTGTTCTATAACAATAGATTTAACATTTCATTAAATATCATTATATGAATTTTTAAAGAAATCAAAAATCTTCTAAGAAAATCTTTATACTACTAACTAAACTTGTTTTAATGCTTCTTAATATTTGGAGAAATCTTTGTAAATTATTAGTTTTAAACTGGTCTGTTGCTACTAAGCTTCTAGTTATTTTTTTGCTAAAAGCAAATTAAGCTATTTTATAGTACCTGTTTGATTAATTAGATTATTAATTATAGAGTCTTGCATAAGCTGGCACATTAATTATAGTTCAATTTGTCAATAGTTATTTGAAAATAAACCAAGATAACCATTTATTTACTCAAATAAAAAGTACCAGAATGCATAAAGTAGTCTATAGTCAAGGCAGTATTAATTAATATAAAGTGCTAAATGAAGATTTGGAGTAATATATTTTTTTATTATATTCTTTTTCAATTTGCTTAATAAGAAGAATAAACTAATTATATGTCTCTTTTAGCACAGTTATATTAATAATTTAACAAACTAAAATTCTCATAGGTAGGGTGTTGCATAAATTAAAATAAATATTTTCTATTTATTAGCTGTAAAATTAACAAATCTTTTATTATAGTCTATCTTTTTAGAATTTGGCCAATGTCAGATGAAATCTGAATTTCTGATATTTTTTTAAATTTGCTTTAATTAGCTTGTATTTAATTTTTTCTAATCAATCTATAATTATTTTACAATTTATTTTGTAATGTTTAAAAATAGGCAATGTATTGAGTTAATAGCCAAAAACTAAATCAGATTAAAATATGGCAATTAAACTAACTCAGATTACTAAACATATGTAAGTTTTTCATGTTGTTTTCTACTTAATTTAGTAAAGCACCTTTACTATTGTCTAGCATCTTGTTAATGTTAGACTAAGTCATATTCAATAAACAATATATTAATATTATCTATAACTTTAAAATGTTGATATTTATCTTTAAATTGTGTCTTCTTTTTACAATAATAGCAGGCTACTAATGCTAAGATATAATTATAAAGCTTTTAAGCTACAGGTATATCATATAAGCATAAAATTAAAGCTACTGTCATATACCAAATAACAATTCAAAATAATTTACACAGAATTAAACAGCAATTTATACAGAAATGCTAAACAAATACTAATAATAAAGTAACAATCACACAGATATTTCTACTTATTATTAAACAATTACTTAACAAACAGAATAAATGTGAGTTTTTTATTTGGCTAAAAGGGTTTTTTTAACACATTAAGTGAATTTGTTAATATTCACAAGATGTATATTAAAGAATATATTACTGATATTTATAAAAAGCAAAAATAGGTTTATTATATATTTTAAAAATAAAATAAATATTACAAAGAGCTTTTACAATAGAATTTTAGATATAAAGAACTATCTAATTGTAATTGTAATATTATAAATATTTTAGAACTTATTATTTTATAAAAGAATTCTGTTCTGCTTGGGAGGAAAATTCTTCCTCTTTTTATAATATTTTAATGCCTACATAAAGAGATACTATCTAGAATGATATCTAGAATAAAATATGAATAATAGCATATGTTTTACTCTAGATACAATATGAGATGTTACCTGGGATTCACCCTGGGTTTTACCCTCTCACAATTACATCTGTACTATATTTGTAACCTGATTTTTACTAAATTTCTATAATTAGATCCAAATGATCATCACATATACTGTTTAATAATATAATAGTAATAATAATATAATAAAAATGTTTTTTAAATAATAAAAATATACTAATCGAAGAAAAATAGAAAAATATAATATAACAAACATTTTCTCTTTTAAAGTTAAGCTTCTGCGAAATGAATATTATTTTCCTTTCTATACTCATTTATAAACTTCTCAAACTCTTTATTTATTAAAAAATACAACTACTTGGAAGTTATTTTTTTAAATTCTACAACTGGATAATTTTCAATTTCTTGATATAGGATACTGGCTCAGAAAGCAATTTTTAAGATATAAGTCCTATTTCTTTGTATTTTCTGTTTAATATTTTGTAAAAAAGTCTTTTTATCTATTTGGCTAAACTTGGTTTCTAGTTTAGAATACAGAAAAAGGTTTATTCCATTTGAAAGGTTAGGTTTTACCAAGACTTGCAAGAGGTTATTAGTATTTTCTTCATTTAAATATTCTAAATCAAAGTTGAGAGATGCTTCAAAAATTTCTTTAATATAATTCTGGATTTTAGTATCTTTCTTTTGATGAAAAACAAGTAAAATAGTTTCTTTAATTAAAGTATTTAAAGAATCTTTATTAGGATAAGTTATTTGAATTTGGTCTTTTAGAAATTGAATTTTTATATTATTTTCTTTAGGTTGAAGTAATTCATGAATCTTTAAAAGAGTTTGTTGTAATTTATAATTCATGGTGTGAAGAGAAAAAAATTTTTTTTTTGTTTGTTTGTAAAAACACAAAACATTTTTAGACAATTTAGAGTTCACAAATTTACTTATAGATATTGCTTATAGTGTCTCAATCTAAATGCATAAGTTTCTTTATTTTCATCATCTAATTAATTTCTTATTTTGTAGATATCATTTTCTAGTTTCTTTGATATCTACATAGGACTATTCCAATGACTAAAAAACTTATCTACATGTGTATTTTGTTTAAAAGCATTATATACAAGTACAATATCTCCAACTTTAAATTGTGAGCTTGTTGCAATTTATTTTGTTAAATTTTCATTTTTTCTTGACCTGATTCAATAGAATGTTCTGCAATAATCATTCATCTTTAAAGGTTCCCAAAATTGAACTAATTCTTCTTTCAAGAGCTTGTTTATAAGGTTCTTCTATAAGATTGAATTTGGAGACAAATTCAATATCAATTGGTATTTGAGCTTCTCTTCTATATAGAAGATAAAATGAAGTATATTTTGTTGCTTTATGTTTATAAGTTCAATAGGCCATAAGAACTGAAGAAATAATTTGGTTCTATTTTTTATAATTTTCTAATACAAATTTCTTTATTATTTTACATAGTGTACCATTAAATCTTTCTATTAATCTATTTGTTTGAAGATAGTAAGAAGCAGATAAATGATGGCAAAAGCCTATTTTCTCTTTTAATAAAGATATTGTATAATTTAGAAAAGAAGAACCTCTATCTGACTAAATAATTGTAGAAACTCCATATTGGCAGATTATGTTTTTATATAAGAACTTGGCTGTTTTCTTAGCAATTGCTACTGGCATAGCTTTGGCTTCAGGCCACTTGGTAAAATAATCTGTTGCAACAATTATCTATCAATTTCTTGTGAAATAATTTCTAAAGGTCCAATAAAATCTATGCCAATATAAACAAAAAAAGATGTAGTTTTTATTGGTTTGGTCATTTTAAATCTTTCTGGTTTACCAACTGATTTTTGACAAACATCACAAGTTTCAATATAGTTTTTAATGTCTCTTCCCATAGTAGGCCAGTAATAATGTTCTATTGCTTTAGCAATTGTTTTTTTTATACCAAAATGTCCACTAAGAGAAGATAAATATAAATTATATAATACTTTATCTCTGTTCAGCAGAGTAATTATTTGTAGATATTGAAAAAGATAATATTTTTTTTAAAATAGTGTATTACTTATTAAACTAAAGACTGTTTTTGTTATGATTTAAAGATAAATAGAATTTTATAAAAGAAAAAGTAATCTAATAAATACTGGTACAATTCTAGATCTATTGTAATCTAAATAAACTTTTCTGGTTGGTTTAGAGTTTAATAAGTAATAGATAGAAAATTATATGAAGTATTGTTCTCTAATCTAGAGAGTGCATCAGCATTAGCATAGTCCTTTTCTTTTATCTTAATAATATCATATAGTTCATATTTAAACAAGTGTATAATCCATCTTGCTAGGCATTTTTTAGAGATTTTATGTCTTTTTAATCAAGATATAGCTTTATAATCAGTAATAATACTAAATTGTTGTCCTTTAAGAAAATGATGAAAGTATTTGGTAGCCTAAATAATGGCAAGGCATTTCTTTTTAGTAACAGTATAGTTTTGTTCAGCAGAATTTAAGACTCAACTGGCATAAGCAATAACATGTTCCTTATTTTCATTATCCTTTTGAGCTAATATAGCTTCAATGGCAAATTCAGAAGCATTGGTATGTAATAAAAATAGTTTTGAAAAATCTAAATATACAACAATAAGTTTGGAGATAAGGCATGATTTAAAATATTCAAAAGCCTTTTGGCATTCTTTTGTCTAGCAGAACTTTATATCTTGTTTAGTTAAATCAAATAATAGTTTAGCAATTTAAGAGAAACTTCTAATAAATCTTCTATAATATAAAGCAAGTTCTAAGAATGACCTAACTTCTTTTTTGGTTTTTGGGGAGTTTTAATTTTTAATTTTTTTTAACAAAAACTGGATTGGGTTGGATTCCTTTTTTTGATACAAGATGTCTCAAGAATAGTATTTGTTGTTTAAAAAAATCATATTTTTCAGGGTTCAGCTTCAAACCAGCATTGAAAAGTAATTGAAAAATCTTTTTAAGATAATCACTATGCTCCTCATATAGTTTATATAAACCAGGACAAATTTTTAAGAAATTTCATAGAATACTTTATCTATTAGGCATTGGAAGGTAGCAGAAGCATTCATAAGACCAAATGGCATTACAGTAAATTTATATGTACCAAATTTTGTACTGAATACTGTTTTTTTCTAGTCTTTTGGATCCATACTAATTTGCCAAAACCTAGAGGTCAGATCAAGAGTAGAGAGGTATTAGCAATGGGCTAATATATCTAGCATGTTAGCAATTCTTAGAAGAGGATAGGCATTTGGTTTGGTAACTTTATTTAATTGCTAATAATCAATTATAAGACAAGCCTTTCTATTTGCTTTCCCAACTACAAAAGCAGGAGATGCCTAAGAACTGTAAGATGGTTTGATTAATCTTTGTTTTAGTAGATGTTCTTTTTTCTCTTTGATAAAAACTTAATGCTTGGGAGATAAACAGTAAGAATACTATTTAATAGATATAGCATTTTCAGTATTTATTTGATATTTAACTACTTTAGTTTATTTTAATTGATCAATATCTTTTGCAACAATTTGTAAGTATTTGCTAAGAATGTTTTGGATATGAACTTTGTTTTTATTTGTTTCTAATTCTTTTAATTTATTTTGAACTAAGAAGGATTGAGCATTTTTAATTTTTTTTTTTTTTTTTGATTTTAACCCTTGGCATGATCGTCACAGAACACCGGTGGCATTCAATTTATTTATTAACTCATTCAATTAATGGGGTCTTCTAAATTTGTAAGATCCCCTACATTTAAGAATTTACATGAGTTAAATATATATTCATGTTAACTATTATAGTCCTAATTGTTCGCAACTGGAATTTTACCAGTAGTATTCTAAATTTTCATCCAGAATTCTACCAGAAGTATCCATTTCTGGAGTTCCTTGATTTTGACCAGAATTTCATCAGAAGTATCCTTGTTTTTTCTTTAATAAAGTATGCCTTTAGCAGGTTTGTGGTTATTTCAATCGTGATCCTGACACAGTTGTCATTCTCTAGTATAACTTGAACCAGTGACCTTGCGATTGGAACCTGGGAGCGTAACCACTACACTATCAACCCACAGGTCTCATTTTTAATTTCATGTATAGGGATTATTTGAAGAGTTTCCCAAACTTTATAATCTCATTTGCAGATTAGACAGATGTCATTTTTAGTGAACAAAGATGTTTTACACCAGCATTTTCTTTGAGGACCTTAATACCAGTTTTTGAGTTTTTGATAACTTTGTTTTCTTAGCCAAGAGTTAAATTTTTATTCATACTGATAGTATTCTTCTTAAGAATAGGTTTCAAAATCAATTTGAATTTCCTTTGAAGTTATTTTGTAGTAGTGTTGATCAGAACTTTTTTTCTCTGAAACAACAAGACTAATTCCAAGTAGGTTCTTCTTAATTTTCTTATTTTTATCTTCATTATAATCCTCATTATTACTTTTATTTTCTTCTAAATATTCTTCTGCTTTTATAAACATTTGAATAGTATTTTTGCAAAGAATTTCTACTGTTCTATTACTATTATTTACTTTTATTTTTAATTGATTATAATCAATGACTGCTTTGGCTTTTCTAAGCCAGTCATTTTCTAATACTAAAGTATAAAACTATATTCACTGCTATTACTACATTACCCAAATGCACAGGGATGTCATTGATAATTCCTTTACTAGATTTCTTATTTCCATAGATCTTTGTAATCATTTAGTTAGACATTTGGTCATGTTTTTGGTTGAAAAATTTCATAAATCGTTTAGAAATAATACTTGTTGAAGAACCAGAATCAATAATGATGTTAATTGTCCATCCTGCAACTTGTTCTTTACAGATCATAAATGTGTTTTTAGGTTTTTCTTTACCAAGCATTGCTTGTTTTTCTTCTTGTTTTTTCTTTTTTGAAATTAATTTTGAAGCTAAGACTTTCTTGAGTTTATTATGATATTAGGAAACTTTCAAAAGTTGGGCAACAGTTACATTGGTTTTCAAATGTAAAAGATCATCTACCAGAGAATAAGGTATTGTTCTCTGTTTAATTAGGGGTTTTTCACTAAGCAGTAGTCTTTTTCTTTTTTTTTTTAGATCAATTTTTTAGTTTACAGCTTCTTTTTTCTTTTCTTGATTATGAGAATTGTTCACATCAATTAAATTTTGATCAACAGTCATATCACCTCCTTCATCTTTCTGCCTTTTGAGTAAGTTATCATAAAGTTGGGACAATGGGTCATTTACCACAAATGAGTTGTTTAAATGCTTATTTAGAAATACATTTTGCTGAGTTGGTTTAGGCCAATATTTTAATCAATTGCAATAAAAGTTGTATGGTTTTCTGGCTGCTAAGGTGTCTAATAAAGTGGTTGAGTTACTGAAGAAGTAGTGTTTAGAACCAAAAATGGATTTTTGTTTGAATATATTGCAGATTGGGTAGGTGGATTTGTTGATTGATTTACTGATTGTTATATAGGCTGGTTAGTCATTTGTTAATTCAACATATTGAGAAGAGCCATTATATTTGATGCATTATTCTAATTCTGGTTTGGAATTTGCTAGTTTTGAGCAGTTGGCATATTGTTAGTTGGACAATTCCAAGAAATATGTTCAGTTTGTTTATATTTATAACAAATAACATTATTAGATTGCTGTTGGTAATTTGATTCTATTTGCCTTGCTGCTCCAATAGTTTGTTTAAGAGTTGTATTGTTCCTAAAAGTTAAGTAAGGTCTTAACTAGTAGGCAATTTCATGGTAAAAACCTTTAGTAAAATTGTAAATTTTATCAGATTCAGTCTAGTTGTTTAAATAATCTACTCTTTTAATAAGGCATTTGATATTCAGAGCATATTGGTCAACAGTTTCATTTGGTTTTTGCATTTGATTTTGTAATTTACCTTTCTATTGTAAGAGTTTTTCTTGAGTATAAAACTTGTTCAAAAACATTTGTTTAAAATTTTGATTTTGTTATTATCTTCCCAAAATTGAAAGTTTTGAGCATTATTATTTGCAGTTTGAATAAACCACACACAAGCTTCATTTGGTAAGTATCTTTTTACTACTTCAAGCTTATAAGCATCAGTATACTGGTTGATAATAGCACACCTTTTAAACTCTTCTAACTATTCTACTGGGTCTTGAATTTCACTTAAGAACATCAGCAAATTTATAGATGCAAAATATTTCAAAATTTTTGCTAAATGCAAAATATTTTAAAATATTTCAAAATATATTTTGAAATTATTGTGTTATACAAAATCTTTTAAAATATTTCGTATTTATAAATTTTTATTAAATTTTTATAATCTATATTGCAACAATACTAATTTCATTTTAGAATGTTTTTTTTAAATTTCAATTTTTTTTTTTTTGTTTTTTTTAATTTTTGATTTTTTTTTTTTTGATTTTCAATTTTATTTATTATTTTTTTTCTTTTTTATGTTTTTGGCAGTAAAGTTAAACCTGGAACTAATACCAAGATAAGTATTAGTTCTTTTTTTTTTATTACTAATGCATTCACTTTTTTTTTGTTTTTCTTTTTTTTGTATTATTACTAATGTTTTCTTTCTTTTTCTGTAGATCTTGTGCTTCACCAGAATCAGAATCTTGAACCTTAAACTGATACAAAGATAAGTACCAGTTCATTTTTTTTTTTTTAGTTTTTTTGTCTTGTTACTAATTCTTGTTTTCTTTTTCTGTAGGTCTTGCACTTTGCCAAAAAGAGTTAATAGAGACTAAGATCAGAATCTTGAACTTAAAACTGGTACAAAGATAAGTACTAGTTTACTTTTTTTTATTTTTTTTTTGTTTTTTTTGTTGTTACTAATTCTTTCTTTCTTTTTTTTAGGTTTTGTGCTTTGCTGAAAAGGGTTAATAGGAGCAGGGATCAGTTTCTTAAACTTGAAACTAGTACAAAAATAAGTATTAGTTTATTTTTTTTTGTTTTTTTTGTTTTTTTGTTGTTACTAATTTTTGCTTTTTTTTTTTAGGTCTTGTGCTTTGCTGGAAAGGGTTAATGGAGACCAGGATTGGGATCTTGAACTTGAAACTAATACAAAGATAAGTATCAGTTCACTTTTTTTTAGTATTTTTAGTTTTTTTGTCTTGTTACTAATTCTTGCTTTCTTTTTTTTTAGGTCTTATGCTTCACTAAGAAGGATTAATGGAGGCCAAAATCAGAATTTGAATCTAAAACTGGTACAAAGATAAATACCAGTTCACTTTTTTTGGTATTTTCAGTTTTTTTGTCTTGTTACTAATTCTTGCTTTCTTTTTCTTTAGGTTTTGTGTTTTGCCAGGAAGAATTAATAAGGGCTAGAATCTTGAGTCAAAAATGTTAATAAAAAATTTGCATTCAAAATTTTAGTTTTGTTTTTTAATATAATATAGTTTTTTTATTATATAATTATTGTTTAATAAAAATTAAATAAAAAATTATTTTAAATAAAAAATAAATCAATTAATAAATAGTTTTAAAATTTTTTAATTATTTAATTATTTTGTAATAGTAAAATTTTTCTAATTATTTCACATTATTGTGAAATTTTTCTAATTATTTTATATTATTTCAAAAATTTTCTGATTATTTCACATTATTGCGAAATTTTTCTAATTATTTCACATTATTTTGAAAATTTTTTATTTATTTTGCATTATTGCAAAAATTTTCTAATTATTTCACAATATTGTAAAATTTTTTCGATTATTTTGCAATATTGTAAAATTTTTTCAAAAATTTTACAATATTGTAAAATTTTTTTTTATTTCAAAAAAAATTCATGTTAATTATAATTATTTTGAAAGATTTTTCGATATACAAAATCTTTTCTAATATTTTGTTTATATTTTCTGCTAATGTAGTCAATCACTATACTGAATAATCTTGTTACTTGGTTGTATTATACCAAAAAGGCTACAATCCTGTAACAGTATAATCTTTAATAGTACTATTTTAAAACATTGATTTAAAGAAGAAAACCTAGAATAGATAATCTATATAAACAAGAATTTTAGATAAAAAAATTCATTAACCTGATACTAATTAAACTATATATAAAGTTGTATTATGCAAAGCTAATTTAATTAGTAGTATAAAAGAACTTGCAAAGAGACTCATAGGTTGATAGCACAGTAATTAGTGCTTCTGAATCTCAATTACAAGATCACAAGTTCGAGTTCAAAATGTGACAACAACTCTGTCATGACTACAATTGGAAAAAAGATCTGCAGAAGACTTTTATTTAAAAGCAAGAACAAGATTCATACAAAAAAAAATGCAGTTATCAGCATAGCCACAGGGTCAAAGACAACCAGATAAGGCATAATTTATCAACAAATAACACTAACTTTGAGAAATCCTGATTTAAGAATACATAATAGTAGAATTAAGGCTTTAAATATATAAATAATCTGGCTAGTAGGTTATATAAAGTTAGAAAACTGCAAACCAAAAAGAATAATAGGTCTTACACTATAGGGCCAGGAACCCAGGATATTATATGATGAACTTGATAAAGCATGAGTTATTTCATGAGTTCAGTGACATGCAGAGGCTACATGCTGTCTAATAATCTTTACAGAATGATAACTCTGGCTTTTAAGAAATATGACAGATCCTAAAGGTATCTAAGAATCTTTAGGATAGCAAAAGGTAAAAAAAAAAAAGAACTTGCAAAGTGTACAAAATACTAATAAGGTTGTAAAAAAGATATCAGAATTGTATAAACTCTACAAAGATATAGAAGTTTAAAAATTAATTTAACTGCAAGTATTAATATTAGCTATAGTAAAATATTAGATTATCTAAAAATGAAAATAATAAAAAGTTCTAATAAGTTTAGTACAAGATTAAAGATACTTTATATAAATAAATTACTTTTTTTTTTTTTTAAATATTAACAGTGAGGCCATGCCTTTAACTTTATTAAAAAATTAATTAAAGTTTTTATAAAAAAAAGCTTGCTTTTAATTTACATATGAAGAATAAAGACTCAAACATATAATCTGCAATCTAAACTTACAAAAGTGGTTAAGGCTTATCTAGATTTGAATTTGAGTAATAATATAAGAGAGAAAAATATAGTATTTAATTTATTAAATAGTCCAAAGGTAATAATTTGTAGTATTAAAATAGAAGATAAAAGTAAACTAAAAAAATGACTTTGAGTTGAGTTAGTAGAAAGTGTAATTTGAGACTATACAAAATATGAAATACAGTATATGATTTATATTTGTTTGTATATTTGTTGGTTTAAGTAAAAAAGAAGTTTGAGATATAGTGACCTAGTGAAGTGGTCAGGTTGTTAATCCCAAGTAGCAGGTCCAAAGTTCAAATCTTAGTATTAACAGAAAATTTTAAAATTCTCTCTATGTTATAATTAACTGTCTCTTATAATTGGTTGGAATAAGATATCTGTTACTTGTGTTACATCAGTATAACTGGCAAATCATATGGTATTTGTATAATAGTCACATAACATTGTTCTTTGGAACAAGGTCTGTGGTTACATAGAGAAATGCAAATCAGTACCAGGCAGTGCAAACCTACAATAAGTTCTTATAGCCATGTAAATCATAGAAATTAAAAGAAGGAAGATGAAAGTTCATTTAGAAGACCTGAATAGAAAGGTAACCTGAACTTTCAATAGTGCTACTGTAAAGACTAAACTTATGAAACAGAGCTAAAACTTGTAAAACTAAACAAATATGCTAGTCTTTGAGGAGGGACCAACCAGGTCACTGAATTTCTGGGTTCTAAAAAAAAAGAATACATGTTGGAAAACATGTAAACCAGAGGTGTATGGTTTTGACCTATCTTTTCAGGCTATCTGAAATGGCACCTTGGTGAAACTTGAATTGAATACCAAAGTAGTAGTAAGAATATGTTGTAAAGTTAGTACCAGGGTTGGAGTAAACTCTACAAGAGCATAACAGTTTAATAGTATGCTCTAACCATCAGTATTAATCTCAGCTATAGTGATATTGAGTCAGCTGTAAGAATAGAATACAGATGATTTTGAAAGGTTTAATACAAGGTCAAAGGTTTTAAAAAAACTGCTTTAAAGAGTTAGTAGTTATGGCATATTTTTACCAGCATCAGCCAAGATCATTAGTAGGCAGAGATAGATAGGTAGATACAGAAACTAGAGTAGTTAAATAGAGAACCTACAAGCATAGCAGCTAGTATAGAACCTTTAAGCAGACTACTTAAATTAGACAATAACTAAAGTTGTATGAGTGGCTAGTTGTATACTCTTTTTATAGTTGCTTCTTGTGGTTGTAATGCAACCATTAGCCAAATATACTATTAATAAAATTCTGAGTCACAAGTACTTATCTTAATATTTAAAAAAAAAAAAAATAAAGAAGAAGTTTGATAAAAAGAGTAGTAGCAGTATGATAAGAAATAGAAGTATTGTAAATAGTAGAAATAAAATCAATAGAAACTAAATCAGATAGAATAGAAATAAGAGAAGATATATGTAAAGAGTTGTGCAGTTTAAAACTGTTAAGTATAAAAATTTTAATATATAAATTAGAACAAGATTGGCAGACATATCAAGAGTAGCTATATTTAAAATATTATTAAGAAAATTAAAGATTAAGTAGTAAATTGTTTGAGTTAATAGGCAGATAGCCCAATAAAGTAAAGAGCTGGTTTGGTTACATTGATGACAGAAAGAAGAAAGTGAAGAGTTATATTTATAAAGAGTATAAGGAACAGAAAGTTTATCTATAAGGATTTTAACTCAAAAAGTTTTCAGAATAAATAAGTGAAAGCTATAAGCAAAATTGGAAATTTTTTGATTATTGTTAATATAAAGCCATATAGCTTCCTAGTTAATATCAGATGCAATAATAGACCATTGTTAAAAATAATG